ACATGAAACAGTTTCATTAAGTAGTATATGAAACAATTTCATAACCACATATGAAACAACTTCATAACCACATATGAAACAACCTCATCAAAAAATGTATTATATGAAACAATTTCACAAGATTAACAATTTTATGAAAAAATTTCATAAGATTAACGATGGATGAGAGTAGTTTTTAAGGTTTTTACAAATTGGAGTGATTTTCATTTAATCGCTCCTCTATATATGGTTGGGTTCACGTGAGACCAAGAGTTTTTCATGAGATCCGTAAGACCAATTCTCAACCCTTGAATTAGATCTACAATCTAACAATGTGGACATTTATAATGTGTGAGAAGCGTGTGAAAGGATCTAGATCCTTTATCACCTTAAATATTAAACTTACCTATGAATCATGCTTGATACGAGGATTGATTCAATAAATCTCATCGTAATATGCATCCAAGGATGAAGATGCCATCTTACGTTCTTCAATTTAAATTTCCTTCTCATGAAAACCTAATCATGAAAACCTTTGAATATGTCTAAAAAAGGGCAATACCAATTCTTGGTCCCAATTATAACAATGTTTTGACTATGAATTATGGAACATATCTTCAACATCTTAAATAACGTTTCTATAATTGTTTTTTACGGTTTTCAATTCATAATCATTTTCTATTGTATTTAAGAATTTAAGTAATCTATGAATAAGATGACCTTTGTTTTTTAAGAGGTGTTGAAGTTTGAAGTCTTATTTCACTTCTGATTTATAAAAGGTGGCGTTGACGTCTAAAATCTGAATCAATAAGATTGTTTGTTTTTGTAAACTGATAAACGTCTGAATTTGTTTAAATTGTCTATTTTACCCATTAAAAAATTATATTGTTGAATGTATAAATAAAATTTATACAACTTCACATATCTATTCATCATCATTACGAATTTTACATCTAAATTATAATCAGCATTCATTTAAACGAAAATATGTCGTTAACGTACTTAAGACATTTAAATCCTATTAAAATACATCAATTGAGAGACGTGAAAATTGATTGAGAGAAATGATCGATTAAGGTTCATCAATTGAGAAACGCCGTTGTTGAGGGTTAGAAGAACAATAATAAGCAAATAAAAGGTTGGTTTACCTCTTACCAAATAAGAGGACAATAAGATATAAGAGCCTCCGAAAAATTGGAAAAAACAAACAGCCTGAATAATCTTACCTCTTAACGAATCAGACATAAGAGGCTAATAAGAGCTTTTTTTTATAAAAAACAAACAAGGCCTAAAGATATTTGCTTATTCTTGTTTTAATTTAATTTATATGTATGTAAAAAGACTTAAGAAGCATGGATTTTTCAAATTAGTAGACACATAACTTGGATTGACAATTGGGTCAATTAACTTTTGGTTTATTCAATTATATATGTTAATTAGTCTACTGATATTAAATTATTAAAACGATTGATATGACTTTATATATATATATATATATATATATATATATATATATAGAGGGAAGATCAAATGTTAACCATCATTTTTGTGTTAACTTTGAAAACCCTCTTAACCAATCAAATTTCATTATTCTTATAGGTTTATGTCTTGTTCATTTTACCCTTACAAGAGTATTCTAGTAAATTGAATTCATTTGTAACCCCCAAACAATTAATGGGGAGTTACAAACAATCAAATCCCAAAAAAATATGCATTCATATTATTAATTTTTTTTACTATTGATCTTCCATGTTCATTCTTGTATGAATTCTTAAATCGTATAAGAAACACGATAGTAACGATTTTCGGTATTGATTAATTTGAACACAAATGAACCTTGAACACAATTTGAACACAAATGAATTGTGAACACAATTTGAACAAATTAACAGATGAACACAAATTAACAGATGCTACCTTAATTTTGTGGGACGTCTATGCATGTGAATATATGGGCCAAAAATTGCACATATCGTGTTCATTTGTGTTCATATCGTGTTCATATCGTGTTCACGGTTCATTTGTGTTCAAATTGTGTTCACGGTTGTTCATTTTTGTTCAAATTGTGTTCACGGTTCATTTGTGTTCAAATTGTGTTCACGTTTCATTTGTGTTCAAATTGATCAATACCGAAAATTGTTACTACCGTGTTTCTTATGCGATTTAGTAATTCATACAAGAATGAACATGAAAGATCAATAGTAAAAAAAATAATAATAATATGAATGCATATTTTTTGGGATTTGATTGTTTGTAACTCCCCATTAATTGTTTGAGGGTTATAAATGAATTCAATTTACTAGAATACCCTTGATAAGTGTATTTTTTCATCCCAAAATGCCCTTTTCATTATTGTTCATTAGACCTCATTAAAATTCAAACTTTAAAATTTAATTTTTTATTGATTAATATATATATAAAATTCTTAATTAGCAAAATATTATTATTGTCTTTTAATAGGATTTAATTCCAAAAGTTATAAATTAGAAAAATGGTGGGAACAGGGAGAGACAGGCAAAGACTATTTGAGCCACCGTATGACCATTTCTCGCATCAAATACACATTCAAACAAATAGCAATAAATTGGAAATTTGGGAGCAACAATTGGCGGAAGTTTTCCCGATCCATCGAACAAATTCTTTCAATTTCACAATTTTAGTTCAAGGAATTCAATCACAGTTTCACAATTTTATGTCCGTTTGATCATCGCCGTTTGTAGGTTCACTATGCTCCGGTCGGTTCATCCATAAAAGGTAATTTCTGGATTTTTTTTATGTTTTTATATGATTATTGTTCTTGTTAAGAAGTTGTTTCAGTTACTGATTGTGGATCTGAGCTCGAATTTGCTTTGAGGAGTTTTCTTTTTGTAGAATTTCAGTGATTTGCTTTATTTTTTGTATGATTTTAGTTTAGGTTTGGAATGATTAAGCTGGAAAAGTGTATTGAGGGCTTGATTTTGTGTTGGCCATTTAGAAACTTAATTAGATGAAAGAAAACCTGCTAATCACCGATAAGTTATCGTCTCTTGAAGCGATAAGTCTCGGTTGATTCTGCTGATGCCATTAATCTCTGTTACGACCATGCTAAGAGAGCTTCCTGGAATTTAGTTTGCCACGAAGCTCAAATACTCCAAGAAAAGAGAAACAAAAAAGGCAGAGATGAAAGAGAAGGTACTTTGTTGCTTTTTCTAACGATTGAGAACTAATTGAAGCAGAGGGTAATCTGTCTTGTTGCAAGCCTGTTGGATGTTCGTGACTTTTGTGACTTTGAACAGCTAGTCCTTTTGCAGGACCGACAATTCTAGAGCTAGGAACAACTTGTACTGCATGTGGTATAAATGACGTGAATGACCTATTTTTCTGGGAATATAGGTTTACTTTTATTTATGAAGATGGTTATTCAATTTTAGATGGATGGCTGTATAGTATGTAATTAGGTATTCTTCAATGTTCAGCTTCAACCAACTCCTCTGTTTTAGTATCGATTGACTTTTAGCACATAATTATGACTTTTCATAATTTCATTGCAAGAAAACATTTTCTAAAACCTGCAACCAAAAAAGAGGAAGTTTTCATTTTGCAAAAATAAACGATTTTCGACAAAAATGTACCTTTCACTATGGTTTCTTTTTGCATTTACATCTGCAAAATTTGTCCAAATCGGCCATTATTGCAAACTATAAAACTCTTTTGGCATTTTTACTAGAACGATGATCACTTGGTACGAAAAAGCCAAACATGAGGGTTTGAAAGGTCAACAACTAGTTTTTATGGGGTCCTTTAATCTTGTCAAGATCATGTCAGTGAATGGTTTTTTGATGTGAATGTCAATGCTCATTAAATTTTCAATCTTTCATGGAGCAATTGTTTTGACATTGATTATCTGTGATTTATCAAAAGAAGGTTTATGTTTGGATAACTTGATTACCATTGGGCCAACAATGAGCAATTTATCTGATGCTGTTCTGTTTTGTGGGTACAAGGTTGAGCTTCAGACAGTTAAGCGTTTGTGAATCAAATAGACATGGGTTGTAGCTGCTTTGGTACTTCACATGTAAAAAGGCAAGAGACTAGTGCTCACAGGGAATTGGAAGGTAGGGACTTACTCAACTGCTTTCTACTATGGATTTCTAATCGTCAGAACTTTTAATATCTCATTTATGGATTTTAATAATCGGAGTTTTTAATATCTCATTCATAAGACTCTGGAGCTGAAATTTTGAGATCTCCCCATTCTTGCCTTGTAGTACACTGGGCAATACCACAATGTGAGATTTGAACTCAAGATCTGTTGGTTATTCAAAGGAAGTCCTAATCACTTGAATAAACCTAGTTGGCAACATTGCACATGCTTCTTAGTTGCTAGAGCAATAATATGCTTAACTTGGCCATTTCCAGACACCAATCATATTCTGCTCTCATTAGATTTTGAAAGTTTACTTGTATGCCTTGTAGCCATATAGTTATTTTCTTCCTAAACACATTCTTTTAGCCAGTTGAAAAATTGAAGTCAGGGACCTGACATAAAGGTAGCAATGGACAAGTGATAAGCCTTTATCGACCATTTTTCTTGCAATTGCCTCCATCTTTATAATTGGATTGTTCTAATAAACATATGCAACACACAGACACACACATCTATTGAGGTTGGGACCCGGTAGTCTTGGCTAAGTTGATTTTACTTGTTGAACACACCTACTTGCTTCTAGAGAGCCGTATATATGATTATTAAGCAAGAGAAAGCAGCTTAAATTTAGAGCTTTTCTAAAATTCACCTCCATCTCACCTGTGATGCAGCGAACAATTAGAAGGAACCATTGAATCATAAGTTGTTATCTGTATTTTTTTCTGAGAGACCGTGATGATGCACCCCTGATAAGTCACCGGGTTATACCCAAATGTTGGATTTAAGCTCAAGACCTTTAGACTGTCATGGGTGCTCCCAACCATTGGAAAGCCAAGATGCATATTGTCATTTGTATTATTATGCAAGCTTGTATTTTCCATGCAGCCATGAGTTTGTTTCACCCCTTCCACATGCAATTATGATTCAATATCTTTACTTGTCTTTCCTTCTCTTTTTTTGGCAACTAACTTGTTATTTTTGACATTTTTAGTGGACTCTTATCAGAAACTTGTAAAGCTGACCTAAAGTTGTTGCGCAGGTCATTCTCTTGATAATATAAGGAATTTTTCATATAAGGAGTTACGACTAGCAACAGATGACTTTAATAAAAGCACCAAGATAGGGCGAGGAGGTTTTGGAGTGGTTTACAAGGTACTCATTCCTATTATAGTTCTCCATAACTCATGTGTTCATAGTTCTTTGACCGCTTGGTTACTTTGTATAAGTTGTTTGTCTAGACTTTCCAAAAGCACCTACAAAATCCAATCATTTTCAATACAATTCATTATGGGCAATAAACCAGCAAAATAAGTTATGAATGCTCATACTTGAATGTTGTTATGCATACATGATTATAGTTCGTAGTTGGTGAAGACTAATATCGTTCCAATTTGGGATTAAAGATCCAGTCACAGTAAACCTAAGACCACATTGAATTAGTATCACTATATATATATATATATATATATATATATATATAGGGTCTGGTTCAGGGGAAAACCGCAAAAAAAGGAAAAACTGAGGAACACCCTGGTAACCGTTCATTTGGACGGTATGCACATGTGCATGCAAGTAACTTGTAAGCAATTTGTCCGGTATGCACATGTGGATAGCATGCACACGTGCATAAAAACCAAGAAACAACTTCAATTACTTGCATGTACATGTGCATACAGTCCAGATGAATGGTTATCTGGGTGTTCCTCAGTTTTTCATCTTTTTTTGGGTTTTCCCCTGAACCTCTCTCTCTCTCTCTTTATATATATATATATATATATATATATATATATATAAACAGAAAATTGAAAGTGCAAGTGTTACCAAACCTTGCCTAAGTTTACACCTTCTCGAATTTCTTTGATTGCATCTTCTTTTTCAATGGAAATACTTCAGATGTACTATGTTATTCAGATATTAAAGTTTGTGATTTCTGAACCATTGCTATTTCTTGATCTGTCAACCTTATGTGCTACCAATATTTTAGGGAATCCTCAAGGATGGAACACAAGTAGCTGTAAAGTCACTTTGTGCAGAATCAAAGCAGGGGGTTCATGAATTTTTAACGGAGATCAATACGATATCAAATGTCAGACATCTAAACCTCGTTGAGTTGATTGGATGTTGTGTTGAAGGAAGTCATCGTATTTTAGTCTATGAATTTTTAGAGAATAACAGCCTTGACAATGCACTATTAGGTAAGCTAGAAAGTTAAAAGCTTGCCTTTTTTAATTAGTTGCTTGCTTCTGGTTGATTATTAAGCATGCTATAACTTGCTTACAGGTAAAAAAACCAAATCTTCAGAGCTTGATTGGAAACGAAGATCTGAGATTTGCATTGGTACGGCACGGGGTCTTGCATATCTTCATGAAGAACTTCATCCGCATATTGTGCATAGAGACATTAAAGCTAGTAATATACTTCTGGACAAGGATTTCACACCAAAAATTGGAGATTTTGGATTGGCTAAACTTTTCCCGGATAGCATCACTCATATAAGCACGAAGATAGCAGGAACAACGTAAGTTTGGTTTACCATATATCCTTGTGTGTGTTTGTTACAAAAATTTGTTTTCTAACCAAAATGAGTCATTTTTCAAACTATTGTTCTTGTATATCTTTTGCAAACAAATGGTTGTTTTTAAAAAATACCAAAAATGACACTCTTTTTTGGAAGATTAAACAATTTTGTATATAATATGTCCATAATTGATTATTCTTGCAAAATATAGTTTTCTTTTCTTGTAGTTTTGCAAGAACGATGGTCTCTTTGCAACAAAATGATCAATTGGTTGGAGAAGTTAATAACTCTAACCAAAGTAAGGGCATGTTTTTTAGCAACTTAATGAGCTTAATGTGACTCACAACTTATTCACTCAGCTATACATGACTGTTTGGTAGTGGCTTATTCAGTGAGCTTCTAGGGGGAGGGGGAGCTTTATGCAGAAAGCCAAGTTTTTTCCAAACCTGCCTCTCCCAATTAAAAAACAAACTTCTTCCATCTATGAAAAAACCTCCCAAACAAAAGCATTTCCAATCTATACAAACACAAATTAATCCACACAAACAACTTTATCCGTACAGGACTTGATGGAAAACCAACCAAACAATCCCCTTGCCTGCTTGTACAAACTTTTGTCTAGCTCATTCTTGCAAAAATGCAAGATGAACGCAACATTTTGCAAAAATAGGCTATTTTGGACAAAAAATTGCCGAGTATGGCGGTTTCCTTTACATCTATATTTCCATAACTCTGTTGAAAATCGTTCATTCTTGGAAAATGTAGTTTTCTCCCTTCATTTTCACAAGAATAATGGTTTGTTTGCACCAAAAAATCAAGAACAATGGTTGGCAAGTTAACAACTCACCGAAATTGTCAACTTGCACTTATCAAGATAGTATAGAAGACGTCATTCTTCAAAAATGTACAAAAACACAAATTTTGCAAGGATTAGTGATTTTGCACAAGAAATGTCAAGTATGATGATTCTTTTTGCATTTACAGTTTTACAAATTGTCCACTTTTTGGCATCTTTACAAGAAAGATGGTTAGTTCGTAATGCAAAGTCAAGTACATTGGTTAAAAACTCCGTTCACTAACCACAAGGGTGGTGCCTGATTGGTTTGAGCTTGGCTCCAAAGGTCAAAAGTACCTGGAGGTCCTAGGTTCATATCCAAGGAGGAATAAAAATCCCCTTGTGGCCATGGAGGTTCAAATGTGGTGACTCCGGGCTATCTGCAAAGCAGGTGGTCGCCCTGGGATTAGTCGTCTCGCATAGCGGGTTGGATATCCAGGTTAATAAAAAAAATCTGTTCACTCTAGAATAAAGCATTCAAAATGTATATCCTCGGGTTTCTCTATTTTGTGATCATTAGGCATGGATTTTCTTCTTACCCCATGAATTTTGTTTGATGAAATTCCTGTTTTCTTTCGTTTAGTGGTTATTTAGCTCCGGAATACGTATTGGGTGGTCAGTTGACATTGAAAGCCGACGTTTATAGCTTTGGGGTTCTCATTCTCGAGACGATAAGCGGCAGAAGCAGTTCTGCATCAAGCTGGGGTACAATGCCGAAAGTTCTATTGGAATGGGTGAGTCATTTCATTCTTTGCTTGGTTTTATTGCATTTAGGGAGCAGCTTAACGAGCTTGATGGGACTCGCAGCTTATGCGGTCAGCTATAAATAATTGGTTGATAGTGGCTTAATGATATAGAAAGTGACTTATTCAATAAACTTCTAGAGGGAGCTCTATGTAGAAAGCCAAGTTTTATTCCAAATCTCCCCCTCCCAATTAAAAGAACACGCTCCTTCCATCTATGAAAAACCCTCTCAAACAAAAACATTCTCAATCTATACAGACAGATTTATCCACACAAACAACTTTATACATTAAGGACTTAATGGAAAACCAACCCCTTAGCCTTTTGTATGAATCATACAAGAGAAATCCATATTGAAAAACAGACGAGACCGAACAATTCTACCAACAAAGAGGGGACCAAATCTGGTTGACAAATTTCCTTTGCATTCCACAGGCATGGGAGCTCTACGGTGAAGGGAAACTTCTAGAACTTGTGGATCCCGACCTTAAAACATACGCAGAGGAGGAAGTCATCAAGTACATAAAAGTAGCCTTCTTCTGCACCCAAGCAACTGCAAGCCGTCGGCCCATGATGAGCCAGGTTGTCGACATGCTGTCTAGAAACATTCGACTCAACGAAAAAGAACTCACGCCCCCCGGGTTTTTTCAAGATTCTAACGACAACAAAAAGGTATCCGATGCTTCCACGAGTCGCCAAATAAGTTCTTTTCCTACCACCATTACACAATTAACCCCTAGATGAAGGTATATATATATATATATAACACACAAATGATTCATGGCCATGGGTGGGTTTTATCGATACTAGATCTTAGTTTCATCTCGTTTTAGGATCGATAAATCACAAATTCCTGTGGAAAAACGCTTCATTTATGCCACGAACGGCGTCGTTAGTATTTTATTCTTTTTGCGTGTTTTTTTAATAGTACAAAAGATGAAGGTTGATATATACCATTTATTAGCCAAAATTCATTTAGAAACCAGATAAGATGGGATAACTATCTTAACTGTCATTTTGTAGCGGATGGCTAAATTGAGACCGTAGATCGGTTTACGATCCGAGTTGGGCTCGTATCCAACATATCATATTCGTAGGAACTAGAGAGAGAGAGAGAGAGAAATCTAACGGGCTTGTCTCGGGGGTGTGGCGGCATGTCTCTCGACTACGGCCTTTCTTCCGCAGCACCATGTGTAGGTAGTGGTTGGCATGTAGGAAGATCGGATTTATTACGAGTTGTTTGTATTATGATCACATTTGATTTAAAGACATTGAAGAAGTTCATGTGGTACGTACAGGAGTTGCTATTTTTAGAAGGTTTAAATAAGAAAGGCAAAAGGCGTAATAATAAATTATCCCTAAAGACAAAAAATTAAATCTGAACATGCATGTCATCACATATTCATTACCTATCTTTTTACTAATTATTCACATATGAAGTTCAACAACTCATCCATGTTTTTCTTAGCAATGCTTCATGTATGAATCATTTATTCGTACATTATCAAATTTATTCATACGTTCTCGATTTTTTTGCCTTTGTATAGTTTTTATTTGTTTGAACTCTTTTAGATCTCTGTAAAACAAATAAAAGACTATCTTATAAACATTTTGTCACAAAGTATTTATTATTAATAATTTTACGAAAATCATTTAACATTTTCATGACGCACATTTCAAGAAAATAAATTCTTCAATGTGAATTTCCATAATTTTTGATATACTCTTGAAATAAGGGTGTTCATTGGTTGGGTTGATCGGGTTGAAGATATTTAAACAATCCAACCCAATTTCAACGGTTTGGAAAAATCTTAACCCAACCCAAGGCAAACCAAAGTGTAACTCAACCCAACCCAACCCAACCCGTACAGGTTGGGCGGGTTGATACTTTGGTATATTAAAATATCTTTCTAATCTTGAATATCTTATTTCTCTACTCATATTTTTTCTTTTCATTATCAACCATTTAATACAACTTATCCATATTTATTACGTATATCACATTCAGTTAATTTTCTTAATTTACATATATATGTTCATAGTTACTGAACATATATACGAATGAGTTATATATAAATGTGAATAGATTGAAAATATGTGTATATGAAGAGCGTCCGTGATAGTGTAATTGTCTAATGTATATATTAATATAAATTCAACAATCATATTAAATCCAAGAAATAAAAGAATATCGAGTTCATGGGTTGAGTTCAAATAATAGTAACCCAATATGTGACAACTCTGCATTTTGGAATTTCAGGTTAGTACGCCATTTTAGGACCTTTATTAAAAACTAAGTCTCTCTAGGATTTAGCTTCGATGATTTGAGATCATCTTGCTCATCTTCCAAGATTAGTTTGTTAGGTCACGTTTCGGCGGGTAGTTAATCAAGTTAGTTCGTGCAATGTCAAATAAGTTTTGAAATATTTCACATAAAAATAAAGTCGATATTTTCGTTTCGTTCWTCTTAAAATTCAAATTCCCAAAGTTCCAATCTTTTATATTTGGTTGCCAATTATTATTTTGAAAGAGTGGAGTTTTAAAAATCTTTTGTCAAAATTGTTTAGTTTGTTGTAATTATTGGGGTCTTTTATTTTGTAAATAAAAATCTTTTTGGGCTTGGGCCTTTAGAGGTCAGCTCATTCTTTATATTGAATCCCCAAATAAATACCCCTTCCCTTTTTTAAATTCTTCACTTTCCAAATTTCCAGCCATTTCATCTTTCTCTCTCTAACTCCATCACTTTCCAACCGATTCCATCTCCAAGCAAAACTCAAGATTTCTACTGTTCTTGAGACTAGTTCGTAGTCGAGAAAATGTATGTTTTAGAGTTGCTTACTTTTCTTTTTGATGTCTGAAAATCTTTATCTATCTCCCTACTCGACTCTTGAGTAAGATTTATGGGATTTAAAGAGGAGAGATTATTCATCAAAGACCCGCATGTGTCTTCGTTGGGATGATAATCCATGACCCAAGTTCTTTAATCCCCAAGAAAGAAAGAAAAATTCTTTGCATGTGAGGTCCGATCACATTTTCGGATGATAGGTCTTGCATGCAACTATAACCGAATTTATCCTCTTGAAAACTTGCTTATTTTGTTTTCTGGAGTTGTTCGAAGATGATGGTTATGTGTTAGAGTCTTGATTCTTGAAAATGTTGAACTGCATGCAATCGGTGATGAAGGCGTGTGGCTCAAGGATTGTGGATTATTTTTGAAAAGAGTGTTAAACCCACTCAAAATCTCTTGATTTTGGTAATTGGCGGCTGTCATCATTTGTCTTGGGATGACATTTAATGATGTCATTATTTGGATTTTGGAAGGTTCCTTTTTAATAAATAATTAAAATCGGCTTTATTTTATAAAAACACTTGGTGGCTTTGCATTTAGATTAACTTTGCTCTACCATAGCCAAGGAAAACCGTAAGTAATATAGCGCTGGTTGGTCTGTCAGGAAGTTCGAGCGAGCATAGCAAATCCTTAAAGGAATCATTTGGATAATCGCCAAACAAGTGAGTTCTCACGGCCCCACTTTTAATGTTTTTTTATATTTTCTGGGGGAAAAGCATGAAATTGAGCAAACCTTGCATGATTATGTACTTGAAATATTGGGACTAAAGAACTGTTTAGTCGATGTTTTGCTTGGAACCGTTGGGCTAAGGAACTGCTTAGTCAAGTTTTACTWGGAACCTCTTGGACTAAGGAACTGCTTAGTCGGGTTCATTATGTTTTGTTTTGACAATTGTTTCCGCACTTAGAATAAATGCTAAATTGATGCGTTTGAGAGTATATGTTTCCAAATAAAAGTCCCCGTCCGTACACGCTACTTGTTAACTCGGGTACATCCCCGGGCCGTGGCATTGTGGATAGCCGCTATTGTGTTGACAGTCCCACCCAGAAAGGGGTGCACAATTACCTATGTTTTCTAGCCTAATCATGTGGAATTTGGACCACCGCTGAATTAGTGCTTTATCGAACCGTGGGACCTAAGTAGTGAACGGGCTACTTCTGGTTGTTCAAAAATTAATGGGGCATATTGGTCAGGAAAGGCTCAGTAGCGTCTCAAGTGTTACATCGCGAGGGATTTACATTTATTAAGTGCAAAGAATTCGCATAAGTTTGCTATTACTTGGTTTATGCATTGAAATGTTTTTATGCATGTGAAAACCCGTGAACTCACCAACTCTTTGTAGTTGACCTCGTTTTTATTTCCATTCTTTTCAGGTTCTAAGTGAGTGGTTTGGATTTTAAAGGAGCATACTTGAGCCAAGATCGATTAAGTCAAGTTTTTGATGTAATTATGAACGTTGTGTAAATTCTAACTCCTGTCATGTCGATAAACTGTTTTGTTTTGAACAACTTGAAATGGTGTTATTTATAAACTGTTGCTATGACTCGCTTGCCTGCTACATCTCATGATTCCCCTTTAGCGGGGTGTGAGACAATATCAACTCAATACCTACGATTTGATAATTTTACAACTCGATTAGACATCGGGTTGCTTCAGGTTAGGTCATTTCGCGTTGGATTGGATTGGATTGGTCGGGTTTTTGAGCACCCCTACTCTGAAATGTGATGAATTTCTAATACATGATAATGTTACACCATCTCTATTCTCTCGCAAATATTATTCGAATTAAAATTCAAAATTTATTAAAAAAATTACTTTTATCTTCAACGGTTTTTTCATTTTAAATATCATTGTATTAATTATATTATTAAAATATTTAATATAATTAATATAATATTATTTCTCTCATAAATATTTAATTTCAAAATTTTTTATTGGTAGGAAGAATAAAAAATAATTTCTCTTTCTTGAGTAATTATTTATTTAAAAGTTTTTCAAATTTGAAGAATTTCAGCTTCTTTTTCCTATTTTTTCTATTTTAAAGGACGTTTTAAAAAATCTATTAAAATAAAAAAATTTATTTAAAAAAAAATTGTTGGAGATGTTGGTCCATAAATCAATTCAAATTATTTGTCAATCTTCAAAACACTTGAAATTATCATGGGCAGAAGACCGGCCGATTTACGTGAGTCAGTCTGTTTTCGTGAGACCATCATTAATTTATACTTGAAACTTCACAATAAAACACTGTGAAGATTAAAAAAAAGCCGAACCTTATCTTTACAGTGTTTTGCTGTGAAGTTTCAAGTATAAATTAGTGGTCTCACGAAAACAAGCAGGTCTCACGTGATCTCAAGTCGGCCTTTATAACCCCCCCCTATATATATATATATATATATATATATAGAGAGAGAGAGAGAGAGAGAGAGTTTGTTTCAAATATAACCCGTCGTATTTGTACAACAAATACAACCCAATAAATTAAGATATTTATAGAAATGATGAGAGTTCATTTATTATTATTTGAATATTTATGAAAGATGAATATGGTTCATTAATTATGATCAATACTTTATATTAGAAAACAATCACAACTTCTATGAAATCACATATTAATCAAATGAAATGGACGGTTGAGATTGGGTTGTATTGGTTGCACAAATGTCAATGGTTGTATAATAATCAACCTTTATATATATATATATATATATATATATATATATATATATATATATATATGTTAAAAACCTTAAAAGAAAATACAAAATTTTCAAACATCATTCACCAAAATGAAACTAGTCAATTTTCATTTTCTCCAAATTAATACTTTCAAAAAAAAAAAAAAAACAAGAAGACAAAATCTTTCACATGTAGCTTGTGCAACATTGTAGAAAGATATAGACTTAGGGACTGTTTAAGAAACACCTAATTAATATTTTTATTTAATTTATCCGGTAAGATTTTGGTCTATTAAAATGATATCATATGCAATATTTTTATCTGATAAGCATTTATTGGGTAAGAGTCGTCACTTTCATGTACTGGTTATGTTGTTAATTGCAGCGCAATCTTGGATATCGACCCTAAGTAAAATATCAGTGGTCAAATTGAGGTGTAAATAGCAGTAACGCAATTATCAGCGCAATTTACCGTAATTTTATCCAATATTTAGGGTCAAATTGCATTATGTAATAGCGTTGTTTTTTCTAGGCTTTATTTTGAGTTTTCGTTTTGGCTGGTTGGGCTTTTAAAATCCGGATTATGTTTTAACTTTAATCCCTTAACATAACAATTACTTTTTTTTTTAATATCAACCCAAGTTGGGTTTTTTAGATCTGAAGTTATTGCTTGCAATTAGCTCGTTTATGAACACTTTTCTATTTTGTTTTGTGAAACTTGTTTAAATTGATTGATTGATGTTGAAACTATGTTCTTAATTAATGCAAATGATATATTTATTCGCGTGCGCGCACACACACACACACACATACACATATATATATATATATATATATATATATATTGTACATATATAATTCTAAAAAATATTGTAAGAACCGCTATTTTTGGAGCGTTATAACTGTTATTTCAAATATCGGTTCTGACTGTAATTTTGTATTTTCACCGCAATAACAACATAGCTTACTGGGTAACACTTTCGGTCATTGTCATCGCTCTTACTAGGTAAGATTCTCAATCTTTATCATGTTCATCCGATAAGGTAAAGAGACACGTTAAGCACTTACCGAGTAAGCATTTAGTAACCCGCCCCTTAGTTCCCAAATTATGCAAAAATGCACATCCTTCTCCACCAACTTCTTTTTTCCAATTTCGAAACCCATTTATTGCAAATGTTTTTGGCCATCTTCAGAAGGCTTGTTAAATAGAAAACCCAAGAAACAAAACGTTGCATCTAAAGTTCTTAAATATTTCGTATTTGGTCTTGACGACGTTCAGGGTCGTCTAGGATCAATCGTTAAGTACCGTCACGTAATGGCATTTCGGTCATTTCGCATAGTTTTTAATATAGGATGTTAATGCACAAATTTGTACAACATGTATACCCATCTAAACATATCGTCATCAGTAACAACTAATAATATAAATAGACAGGTTTGATATGATCACATCCAATCCGTACCGTCTAAACTTATGGTCAATAACAATAAAGACATTCCAAAAAGACGTTTGACATGATCACATTCCAATCCATACCATTCGGAGTTACAGTCACTGGTAATAAAGACGACACAAACAGATAAAATTTCATGTAATATCAGATCCAATCCATCTCGTCTAGACTTAACGATACAAACAAACAAATAATTGATATAAAATCGCATCCGGTCCATACCATCTAGACTTGTGGTGAATAAAAACAAAGACAATATAAATGAACAGAAGTTCGATCTGGTCACATAATATGATCACAACCAATCCATCGATACAAAAAATTTTGTATGTTATATATGTTTTCAAACATTCAAATACTAAGGAGTCGTTCATTCAACGTTTAGCTGATAGTGTTACCGGTAATAGTCTAACACTTTCACCTAATTTACTGTGTAAGATTTTAATCCATTAAAACATTATATGTAACATTTTTATCCGGTAATCGCTTACTGTGTAAAATTGTTGGTCCTTATTATGTCTGTTACCGGTAAGTAGAGATGGCAAAGGGGTTGGAGATATCGGGGATCGCGATCCCCATTAGGGAACATGGAATTTTTTCTCGTCTATACAATTTTATTTGTTACTTAGGGGCCGTTTACTAAGCACTTACCCAGGTAAGTGCTTACCAAATCATGTTACCTCACCGGAGGAATATGGTAAGGACCAAAAATCTTACCCGGTAAGAGCGAGACAAGGACCATGAATCTTACCCGGTAAGTGAGGGCGACGACTCTTACCACGGTAGCGTTTACCGGGTCAATTGTTGCATAGGATGTCGTTTTGGAAGACTAAAATCTTATCGGTACGTAAATAATAGTGTTAAATTTTACCGATAGGCACTTACCGGGCAAGTGTTTGGTAAACGGTCCCTTAATGTCTTTATATATTAGGTATATAAATTGTCAATTTTACGTTTAAACGACATATAATGCTAAAATATTAATCACCCATATTTTTAATTGTTGCATTTGTACAACGGTAACATAAAAAAAACATAATGCAAACACAAATATATCAATTACAAATACTTAGTAAATAATTGAAGTTCTACATAATCACGCGTAATATCAACAAAAGTTTCTCATAAACAACCAAATCAATAATGTAACTTTTTTACAAGTTTCCATCATGGAAGAGTGATTCTATTCATCCATTATAATCGTTGAATTTCTCAACTATATAATTATACTTAGTGTGTGCGTAAGGGTATACACACACACACACATATATATATATATATATATATATACACACACATACATATATAGAGGAATGATCAAATGAAAACCGCCCTCATTTGTGTAAACCGTGCAAACCACCTTCATCTGTCGATTTCATTGTTTAATCTTATGAAATTTTCTCATGAAATTGTGTAATCTTGTGAAATTGTTTCATATAATACTTTTTTTGATGAAGTTGTTTCATATATGGTTGTGAAATTGTTTCATATAATACTTAATGAAACTGTTTCATGTATTTCTCTAACATTAATGAAACTGTTTCATGTATTTCTCTAAAATTAAAATTATAAAGATGATAATATCTATGATTAACACCCTCCACAACAAAAATGATTAATCAACCTCTCATAATTACAAAAAAATGAACAAAATGAAAAATTATGATTGGTTGAATGCGGTTTGTACGGTTTGTACAAATTGAGTGGTTTGCATTTGATCGCTCCCCTACATATATACATATAAATATATAGAGTTCGTTTCAAATACAATTCATCGCATTTGTACAACCAATGCAACCCAATAAATTGAGATATTTATGGAAATGATGAGAGTTCATTTATTATGATTTGAATATTTATGGAAGATGAATATAGTTCATTAATTATGATCAATACTTTATATTATGAAACAATCAAAACTTCTATGAAATCACATATTAATAAAATGAAATGCACGGTTGAGATTGGGTTGTATTGGTTGCACAAATGTCAAGGGTTGTATAATAACCAACCTCTAAATATATAATATAATAGTGGTGTACCTACGCGATGCAGCACGGGTAAATCATAATTTTGAAACATTAGTTTAGCTTTGAATCATGAGTTTGTGTGGTTATTTTATAAGTCAACTAATATATAAAGTTGAAGGTTAATATGGTGTATTAACAAGATCGATTGGAAAAATAATTGCACACATGTTGAGTTTCTAAACCTATATTAAGTTGAAGGGTTGGGGTGGGATACATGCAGGATCTAAAACCCTTTCTGATATTGTTGCTTCAAATTTCATTTTACTTCAAAAGAAAGAAGAACTTTGAATTTGGGTTCAAAATAAGAAACAAACAAAGTGTCAAACAATTTTGGGATGACCAAACATACATTTTTCCATGTAAATATGGCTTACTTAAATCTGAAACTTTGACCAAACAAATGATATGCTTTAAGCATTTGTACATTATGGATAATATAGTTTGCACTTAAGAGATTTTTGAATCTCTTGCATAAATTGATAGTACTTTATGCTTTAAGGCTTGTAATTAAAACTTTTGGTGTAAATGCTTATTAATATAGTATAGATATGGTTGGGTTCACGTGTAACCAACCTGTTTTCGTGAGACTTATGAGAATTCACAGAAAACGCTGTGAAGGTATAAAAAAAAGTCAAACCTTCAGTGTTACCTTCATAACGTTTTACTGTAAAGTTTCAAGTGTAAAAAATTATCTCACGTGTCTCACGAAAACAGACTGATCTCATGTAATCCTAAGTCTCTCTCTATATATACATAGAAATGTATATTAATACTCGGGATCAAGAATGAATGGCATCCCCATCCCGATCAAACCGGGAGGTTTTCCATACCTACTGGTAAGGTAAGTGACACCTGGTTACGAAGCACTTATCTGATAAATGTTTGTTAAACAAACCCCTAAATCTTAAAAGATAGATATATCAGAATCACAACCAATTTTGCAACACATTTTTACTGATAAAAATATACCTTATTATGTGTCTTTAAAAAGGGGAAAAATTGAAGCATGTCTAAAAACCATTAACATCATCATAAGCAAAAGCAAAGAAACAGCTCTTACATCACAGTAATAACAAACTTGAAACAACACCGTAATGGTTCTCGATCCGAAAACACAACATATCGTAGTCGATTATGGCAATTAAATCCTCAAACGGAAATTATACGATCATAGATTCAAAAACTAACCTAAAATCTTTATATCAGGGTCGGATTCAGGCGGCAGGTTGTTCAATTGGTGCAGCTGGAGCTTCAACACCACCATTTGAGGCGGCAGCATCTTTAGCAGGTACAGTTTCGGTACTGGCCGCGGTGGTGGCGGCGGCGGCTGCTGCATCCTTTCCGTCTTTGGCAACTACTTTATCATCTTTGGCACCTTCCTTTCCATCTTTGGTGGCGGCAGGTGGTGGTGGTGGAGGAACCATGTGAGCGGGCGGTGTGTGTTTGAGCTTCACCAAGATGTGACGCAACCTTGCGAGATCGGTGGGTTTTCCGGGTTTGGGTCCTTGAACGACTGTAATTCCCGGTTTCTTGTCTTTGTCCTTCTTACCTCTCTTTTCTATGTTGGGAACCTCGCGAGGAATGAGTTCGGCTATTGCTTTCCAGTATTGTTTATCGGCTTCTTTGTGGAACTTTTCTTGTTTTGCTACGTACAACTATTTCAAACGGAAAGAAAAGTATTTTAGAACAAGGGTATTAAGGACAAAACCACCGCTCCATTGGCGGCTTTAAATGGTGCCTATGTTTGGCGAACTAGCTAATAAGCTAGCCGTTAGCTTTTCAGCTAGCTAATGACTAATAAGCTAGCCGTTAGTTGATAAACTAGTCACCAGAAACTAGCAGTAGTTGGTTGATAAACTAGTTGTTGGCTGAAAAGCCAGTTAGCTGATAAACTAGTCATGTTCGGTAAAAACTAACTAATAAGTCAGATGTCAGTGTAAAATGAACGATAAAAGAGGCATTTATATAAAATACAAGGGGCATAATTAGAAAAGTTAAAAAAAACCTAATCAGCTATCTGAAGTAGCTTTTCAAAATAGTAGCTTATCAATTACTGAACGGGGCTGTTTCAATAAGATCAAAAAATAAGCTAGCTTATGGTTGTCAAGCATGGCCTTAGTATCTCAACATCAATGCAATGAAAAGGAAATTTCAAGCATGGCCCTAGGTTAATTTGGAGTATATTTTAATTCTAATGAGTCAAATGGGTAAAAATTATGGGTTGCTTACCAAATGCTTGCGGGGCACTCTTATCTGGTAACCGAGGGAAAAGATCATGTGTTTAGCGCTTACAGGGTAAGAGACGTTTACCAACAATCTATTTGGATAACCAAGAATATTACCCGATAATATAAGTTTGGGTGGTGCCTCTTGCTGGTAAGCGCTTACCCGGTAGCCGTTTGGCAAACAGCCCCTTAGGCTAAAAAGAGAATAGAGTTAACCATGCCCAACCCAATGTAACTACAACCAAAAAATTTAGCCATTTTGACCCGTTTGACCGTTTCATACTCCGCCATTTTGCCACCTATAGTTCTGAAGTTCAGCTCAACAATGTTTTGTGGTAAACATTTTGCATCATGATAGGATATTCAATAAATTACCTTCTCGCCTTCTCTATTGGTGAGTTTGTTTGTCTCCATGCTGCGCAGCCTCTTTTCATGGAAAGCCCGTTTGAATTCTTCACCTTCTTCGATGATCTGGCTTCGTAATTCCTTCTCTTTGTTCTCCTTCTCCTCTAGTCGAATTGCATTCAGCCTGCACAACGAAGGGAATGTTGTACGCTAAAACATATTTCTTGTCTAGAGAAAATCCAACAGTTAACCCGTCACATAGGAATTGTAGAAATATCCGACTACTAATCAAATATCTTTTGGCAAATGGCAAAAGGGGTGCCTGGCATGGGCCCAGATAAATATCATCATGTAACTATATTACGATCACAATGGCAATTATGTGAGTTGAACTTAAGAAGTTGACAAAAAGAACATGTTACATCTCAATTTTCATGGGGCATTAAAAATTAGAAACACTAAAATTTTCATTGGACAAAAGTGGTACTCCCTCCGTCCCAAAATAAGTGGTCACTTTACAAATTAGATAGTTATAATTTACTAAATTTTCAATTCCACCCTTAATTTGGATATTTAAGAGTTGATGAGATTGAGAGAAAAGGTTTGCCTCTACATCAAGGGTGAAATTGCCATCAGTTTATTAAAAAAGTGTAATAATTATATATTTCTAAAAATGTGTTCTTTTTCTTGTGGACGTTTATTCTGGGACAGAGGAAGTATAACTATTTCTGCTTGGTAATGGTTTTATGAACTCATGCAAAATCTCAATGATCTACAAGAACCTAGATTGATTCCATCTTGTGGTGAAAGATGGAACTTAAATTAAAAGGCAGGATATAAAACTAAAGACCAATAAGAGACCGATGCAGGACCATCTTATGAGTTATGACTACAACATTACTAATGATTCAGTGCACTGATAAATTCTCCCTCTTAAGGTTCAGTGCACTAACCAATGGGCTTCATCCACGTGTAATGTGCACTAACTAACTTTAGACGGAAACAACCGAGTTCTGATCTTCATGTCTTCAGAAAGGTGTAAATGGCGAAGACCTCTGAAAAGTAGACTCTAGAGGCTAGGGTTGCTCATGGGTTGGGTTGATAGGGTTAAAGACATTTGAACAACCCAACTCAATGATTGCGTTTTGAAAAATCTTAACCCAACTCAAACCAACGCAAGATGTACGGGTTAGTTAGGTTGATACTTTGATACATTAAAATATTCTTCTAGCCTTCAATATATTATTTCTCTACTCATAATTTCTTTTTCATCAGCAACCATTTGATACAACTTATTCATATTTCTTACATATATCACATTCAGTTTATTTTCTCAATTTACATATATATGTTCATATTTATTGAATATATATACGAATGTGTTATATATAGATGTAAATAGATTGAAAATATATGTATATCGTGATAGTGTAATTGTCTAATGTATATATTAATATAAATTCAACAATCATATTAAATCCAAGAAATAAAAAGATACCGGGTTCATCGGATTGGGTTGTGTTCAAATAAAAGTAACTCAATATCAACCCAATATCTACAGTTTGAAAATTTTACAACTCGATTAGACATCAGGTTGCTTCGGGTTGAGTTATTTCGCGTTAAGTTGGGTTGGGTTAATCGGGTTGGTATTTTGGTAGTTTGAAAAGGTTCATATCAACTCAATTTCCAAATAATATGTGCTTTCTCATAGACTTATTACTTAAGCATTTTGGTCCTGCTTCTGTTGCCATCAGTTGATTGCATCTCCCAGTAGATAACGTGATGCAGACTTTCATTCACTTGAAATGTCTTTCCATTCTTCAACATTTAATCTTTGGCACTCCATGTGTGGAGAAAAGAAACCCCAGCACCACTTGGAGAATAAGCAAAAATTAAAAAACTGAAACAACCTCAATGAATGATTAAAATAATTGACTAGTCCAGGGAAGTCAAGATTAAGACGTCAATGTTGGTGAATGAGGTAACAAAGAGGCTTTGTTGAGAACAAGATTGAGGCAAACTTAGTAGATTCTCATGGCATATACCAGTTTGAAGTTGATAAGAATATTATATGAGGGAAGCCAAAGAAGGGTTCAAAATAGTTTTGGTCAAAGTCAAGGGTGAAAATATAGAGAACGAAAAAATAGATACTGATTCATTCCCAAGGAAATAAGCATATTTATTTTGTTATTCTGCAAGGAATAAAGTTCTAGCTTGAGACATTAAGACAGTACTATTCTAAACAAATTCTCAAGATGGATGAAAAATTATACTGCAATGCCCACGGATTCTTGTCCTTCAAAGTGTTGAAATTTCAGTGCATACTGGACCGTACAGAGAAGCAAATGATGTGCAAGGAGCACCACAAGTCTAAGGCAAGTAAAATTTTTATTTATTCAGCAACTGCTTTTCATTTGGGCAAAAAACCAAAAATTGGTGTACCTAAGATCTAACCAATGATTGGATATTAGAGTAGCTTAGACTATTAAAAATTTAAAACTACTTGGTTATTTTATTTCTTGGTTAACAATGTGATGGTCTTCTAATAGTTTCTTGTTCTATGATTAGTAGCAGGGTTTCTTCTATTTATATAGAGAGCTGTGATCCCCAATATGAATCATTAAGACATTGAAAAGAATTTATAGTTCAATTTATTCAAACCCTCTTTTAAACGTATAATAAATAATCACAGAAAACTTGTTTTTACTTTGTTAAGAAAATATACATCCTTCTTTCCTTTAGCCAACTAACTCTTATAAACCATAGGAGGTTTTTATTTAAAAAACTATGTATGAAAATAATTAGATAGAATACCTTCAACCTTTTCAACTGATAGTGAAGGGACATATAATGAGAATCTAGGTTATATTATTTGTCTACACCAGGTCAGACTACGCAATATAAAACTGAGCTTTACTAGATGCAATCAAAAAATGAACTTTATCAACAAGTTTTTTTTACCATTACCTGGGGTCTCTTTCTTTCCTCAGTTATTTTCATACTGTGATAGGCTCTGGCTTTCGACACAATTTCTATTTCTCAAATTTGTATACTTCAACTGTGACCACTAAGCACTTGATGTTTTGACTTAAAAAGGCACCCTACAAGCTAGAACAGTTAGGTGACTTCTGCAAGTATCACTAAAATCGGAATCTGATTAACAAAAATCACATTATTTGATTATTTATACATCTTAACAAGGGATGTTGCAAATGGTATAACTTCATTTATAAGATCTTACCAAAATTTTAGCCTTCTCTCCTCTTCATTAACCACCCTTGTTCTATATGTCGTCTCTTACTTCTCATTAATCTGAATTAATATAATTAAAGAGTAATTTGAGCAGGAAAATTGAAGATCAAGCCAACACTTTTCGGTAAGTACAGCTTCAGCCTTCAAATTTTGCAAAAACTGTGGTTTTAGTCAGCCGCACACAAGTCCTTTTATTTACTATTATTCCAATTTAGGTTCTTGTACCTTTTCCATTGACAACATCGTATGGAACAAATACAAATTACAGCTTTATTTATTTTGATCTTTTAACTTAGTTGATTCAAATGATGGGTTTCTCATATTAGCTTTGATACCCGCATTTTTTATTGAAACAATGGATAACATAGAAACAGGGAGGGTCTAGCATTTCTTTATTTTCCTAGATGGGGATTTTTTTATCTTTTCATCTGACTGAGTGATTATTATGTTCCAAATAGATCAGAAATTTGAGATTTTTATTTCATGGTTTAATGTTCTGATTATCTGAGAGATTCAAAAACATTAAGATCAAGATCACCAACACCTATAATATATTTTTATCTTTCAAAAATTAGATGAACTCCTCAGACATCAATGTAACGTTGTTATTGTAACTATGAACATATAATACACTTAGTACCTAGGTGGTATGATTCCCACATACTTGCGATGAATCTAGTTCCTTATTTGATTCATTTGCCAAACCTACATTAGAAAACCCCTTCAATTCGACACACTAAGATTCACATAAAACATTTTCTGCCTAAAAGCTAATAAGGTCGATGGTTTACAGGGGATCATTATGAAATGAGAACTAGATCTCGCTCAAGCAGGTTCGGTAATGGAGTTCTATTTAGATCCAGTGCAATTATAGCTGAACAAGCAAATACTATAAGATCTACTATAAATTGCAACTGAAAAATATGATAAAATCATAATAAAAAATGCACCAAATTTAAGTGGAACTGAAACCTCACCTCCGCCATTCACGAAGAGCAAACCCCTCTTCCCGCATCTCACTAGGAGGCGGGAGCACCGGTCCATCAGAACTAAAAATCCCATCAGCATCCTCTCCAACATCGTAATCCTGACTTACACCGTTTGAGATCGGGATCGATGAAGAGTCAAACGGTGATGAAGTCTGAGGCGGCTGGGAGTACGGATCCGGGTCCGGATGCGAACCGAATCCAAACGGATCTGAACTATCTACAGATTGGTGAGGTACATGCTCACCTTCAGCAGGGAATTCATACGCCGGAGTATCGGCGGTGGAGAAGTTGGAGTATGAATCGTTGTTGTCGAAGTAACCTTCATCGAATTGACCAGAAGACGGAATCGTCGTCGATTCTTCGCCGTCGACGCTGAACGTATCAAACGACGACATCTCTCTCTCTCTCTCTCTCTAAATTCTCTCTCACTTTCTCTCTCTAAATTCTCTCCTTTCTTCTTTGCCTGTTTCCATGGCTGCCATTTTATATTACTTTTTCTCATTTTTCTTCTCTTTTATTTTTGCCACACAACTTATCAAATTTTGATATTTGCCACTTAAGTTTCATATTTTAGAAATGAGTTAATTACGATTTTAGTCCCTATGGTTTATTAATAAATTTTCAATTTTTGGCTTTATGATTTAAAAATTACAATTTTCATCCCTATGGTTTGCAATTTATTTTATTTTTGTACCTGAACTAATTCCTAACTTTAAGTACAATGGATCAAAACAGTAAAAAGATGTAAACTATAGGAACCGAAACTACAATAAATTATAAATCATAATTAAAAAAATAACAATGTATTACAAACCATAAGGACTAAAACTGTAATTTCTTAACCATATGGACAAAAATCATAACCATTAACAAAACACAAGGATGAAAACTTTCTAAATCAACTATCTACTTTTCCAATGCCTTTAATTCTTCAAAACTACATCGTTTTTTACGCATTTTCTTATAAGTTTTAAGTAAAGCAGAGGTAAAAGTCTAAAAAATTCAATGAACTTTAGTGTTTATAATGATTAAGTCTTTGGATAATTATTTGGAACAAATAAGTGTTTGGACATTTCAAAACATGTTAAATAACTTTTTGCACTTTCTAAAACTTGTTAGATGTATTCTTATGACCTATACAACTAGTTAATGTGGTAAAATAATGGAAAAAATCTGGAAAAAAAATCAATGGACATTCATATTTTGAACGATTAAGTTTCTAAACATTTTTTGAACAAAAAACGTATTTAGATCTATGAAATAAAACAAACATACAAAAAAGTACTTACATTCACACAAAAAATACTTACATTTAAAAAACTTGATCAAATTTATTTTAATTAAAAATAAAATATATTTTGTCAGTGATTTTTCAAACTAAAAAAATAATAAAAAATTTTAAAAAAAAATTGATTAAATTTATTTTAATTAAAAATAAAGTATATCTCGTATATGAT